ACTCTAATCTGTATCTCCTGCTTCAGCCATTCTCCTGAGCTCCAGACCTTTGGTCCAGATGCTACCTGGATAGCCCTAAGGTATCTTGCCTGGAAGTCCCTGAATTAATGCATTCTTTATACCTCCTTTTCTGTACCCTCAGTCCAACCCACACAAGTGGTTGCTATTTACTGGATAGCCCGTCCAGAAACCTGAGCATTAATTTTTGTCTTGCCTTTGCCCTCTCATACTCTAAGCAGCCTCCAAGCCCCTGTCTGTCCTACCTCCTAAATTTCTCTCCAGTCTGTCCCTTCTCCTTGTCTCCAGGGCCTCTAGTGTAGTTCATGCCTTCCTCGTAATGTCTTAACAGCTCTTAACAGCTCTTTTTGCATCCAGATTCTCTGCCTTTCACTTTATCTTCTGTAGTGGCACCAGAATGGTCTTCTGTAACTAGGCTCTGTTCATGTTGGTTACAGGTTAAAAACCTCAGTTCCTTCCCATTTTCTACAGTGGATAGTCTTCAAAGCCTGGTGCACAAGATGATGCAGGAAGTAAATATCAGAACTCTTACTTACCTTAAATGGAAATAGAATTAAGACTTATTAATACATAACACATAGATTGACAGTGGGCCAACTTATATATAAGTAAATATTTATGTGTTGAGGTATGTGATCAAATTCTTTTCTACTGAGTACATAATCAAAAGAGTTTGGACACTCATCAAACTATTGAGTTCAGATTCCATTAAGTCTGATCCTTCATGGTTGCCCCAGTCTGTTTCTCTTTGCCTGCCATATACCCTCCAGCTCTATCTGAATTACTTGCTGGTCCCTGAACACACCTTGTTTTTGAACCTTTCTGCCTAGAAGCCTCTCCTTGCTGTCCACGTGAGGACTACCTTTTTCATCCTTTATTATCTAGCCCGATTGTTACCTCCTGTATGATGTTTCTCCCTACTCCCTTTGTCCCTGTTTCTAGAACACTTTATTTATCTTTTAGTATAGGATTTATCCATCTGGGTTGAGATTGTGCTTGTCCCACTAGTCTGTGAGCTCCCATGTGACAGAGACTTTAATAGTGCTCAGCAGTGGCACACAAAGGGCACACAGTAAATATCTGTTCATAAATTTCCATTTCTGTGGTCCAGTGAAAATTTTTTTACAGCCAAACAGAAAAGAAGATTATTGGTTGTAATAGCTAGAATATTAGAGTTTAGGTTCTTAGTTTAGTATAAATGTAAAGCTATAAATGCAGATTCCTGTCCTTCCTACAGTCTCTGTCACAACTATTCAGCTCTGCTGTTATAGCACAAAAGCAGCCACAGACAATATGTAAACAAATAAGCATGGCTGTGTAAAAGTCGATTTGTGGACAATGAAATGTAATTTCATATAATTTGTATGAATCAAAATATTCTTTTGGGTTTTTTTTCAAGCATTTAAATATTTAAAAACCATTCTTAGTTTGCAGACTGCTTAAAAAACAGGCAGTGGGGGCTTCCCTGGTGGCGCAGTGGTTGAGAGTCCGCCTGCCGATGCAGGGGACACGGGTTCGTGCCCCGGTCAGGATAGATCCCACATGCCACGGAGCGGCTGGGCCCGTGAGCCATGGCCGCTGAGCCTGCGCGTCTGGAGCCTGTGCTCCGCAACGGGAGAGGCCACAACAGTGAGAGGCCTGCATACCGCAAAAAAACAAACAAACAAAAAACAAAACAGGCAGTGGGCTAGATTTGGTCCTTGGGCTGTAGTTTTTCAGAACTGTGGTTTCAAACATTACAGAATTGCTTGTTTTATAATTATTATAAAGGACATTTAGATTTCATAGAAATTGTTCTCCCCACCAGGTCCGTTTTTTATCTGATCTTGTGAATTGTCACGTCATTGCTGCCCCATCAATGGTTGCTATGTTTGAAAATTTTGTAAGTGTAACTCAGGAAGAAGATGTGCCTCAGGTAAGAAAACCCCTTGTGCTGAATCTCGTCCATATAGTACCAGGAATTTTTCACTAGTAAACCTTTAGTAATAAAAACAGAAGATTAACAGTAGATTTATCACATTGTAAATTCTTAATGTCTAACAGTTAAGTCAGCTGGTATAATGGTGGGTTCTTGTAACATCTGTACCTTAGTTAAATGATATTGTCTAGTAAGATTAAAGCTAATATATCTAAAAATGCTCTAAATGAGCCAAATGTCTTTGTTAAGTCCTACTGAATTGCGTCCATAGGATTTCATTCAGGAATAAATATAATATGAATGAAAATTCACTAGCACCTATTTTAAATGTACCTTTTTAAAAAAATTCTTTAGGTGCGCCGGGATTGGTACGTGTATGCATTTCTATCATCTTTGCCCTGGGTTGGAAAGGAGTTGTACGAAAAGAAAGATGCAGAGATGGACCGAATCTTTGCCAACACTGAAAGCTATCTTAAGTAAGGGCACAGCAGCTTGGTAATGATTTTGTGTCCCCTTAAGTTTTTTCAGAAGAATTTTGTTATAAGTTTCATTTTCTATTAATAGGTAATTCTTTGGATATTGTTAATATCTACTTAGTTACAATAAAGCTAAAGGAAGTCTAAAGATAAAAATCTGCTTTCTCATTACACTAAGGTACCTTTAAATGATTTTTCAAATGTTTTATATTTTTCAAAAGTTGTACTGTTTTTTAATAATATATAGATGTTTGCAAAAGAATGAAAGAGTATGAATATGCTAACATTTGAATGTCATTCCCCCTTTTTATACAAATGATAGTCCAGTATACACATTGTTCTTCTATACACACTTGCTTTTTTTTCCCTCTTAATATAGTTTGGATTCATTGCATAAGATATTTAGCTCTACCTCATTCCTTTTAACAGCTGTATGGTATTCCAGTCTTTTAATGTACCATAATTCCTTTAACTAGTCTCCTGTTGGTAGACATTGAGGCTATTGCAAGTCTTTGGCTATTTTAAACAGTGTTTCAGTGAATATCCTTGTACATAAGTCTTTATGTGCATGTACAAATATGTTTTGGGGTGGCATGTACAAATATGTTTTGGGGTGATGTGAATTCTTAGAAATGGCATTGCTGGGTTGAAGTGTCTTTAACAATTTTAATTTTGATACTTAGTCAGATTGCCTTCCAAAGAGATTATACTCTTCCATATGTCGTCTAAAGAGATTGTCAGTTAGCCCTATTCCAGTGATGTTTTTGAAACCGTGTATTTGCCTACATTTTGGCAATGCAATACATTATCAAAGATTCTAATATCTGCCAATCTGATAGGTTAAAATGTTTCACTCCCTTAATTTGCATTTTATTAATTATGAAAGCAGCTGAATATCTTTTCATGTTTTAAGAACCTAAACGTAGATTTTCATTCTTACCTTTAGAAGACGCCAGAAGACTCATGTGCCCATGTTACAAGTATGGACTGCAGAGAAACCGCATCCACAAGAAGAGGTAAATTGATTTCAGTCTCTTGTGATACAAGCACAGAGTAGATTCTTATCTCTGTGACATATTCAAATCATTCCATTTGTATACCTCAGCTGGGTTTTCACATTTCATATCAGGGGTTCAGCTCCTCATAGCCCTAGGCATATAGTGGATTTTTAATAAATGTTAGAATGTCATCAAAACATTCCCTATTCTTTGGGATTCCAGATATCATAGAGTTGATGTATTTTTTATTTAAGTGCCCAATTTGAAAAAATAAGAGGTATCAGCCCCAGACAGACTTTATAAAATAAGTAAAACAAAAACAGAAACTTCGCAGTATTCCTTAGTACTGTATTTAATTGTAAGTTAGCTTGCTTTTGTATCCTGTATTTTAGAAGGCAGTAGATTTTTGGTTTTGTCTAGTCAAAATGTTATTTCATCTAGCCTCCAAATATCTATTAATTGTTAAAAATTAATCTGTCTTTAGTATTTAGATTGCCTCTGGGCCCAGATTCAGAAATTGAAAAAGGATCGCTGGCAGGAGCGGCACATCCTAAGACCTTATCTTGCCTTTGACAGCATCCTGTGTGAAGCACTGCAGCACAACCTGCCTCCTTTCACACCACCTCCTCACACTGAAGATTCGGTGTACCCGATGCCAAGGGTCATCTTCAGAATGTTTGATTACACGGATGATCCTGAGGTACATGCATGACCAACAAAAGTGCCTTTCAAAGCGCCTGTGTTGTGTTGTAATTGTGGTTTAATCTTGTTTGAATTATGCCTATGGGACATTTTAATTTTGAGTTGTTTATTATCTAAGAGGGTCATTGGCAGTGAAGTTAACAGTTTAATTCAGTGAATGGTATCACCTCATGATTCAAGAAATCATATTTAGGCAGTGTAAATTGACAGCACGGTGTACAATTGAAGAGTGTAGGTTTGAGAGGCCAAGTAGGTTTGGGTTTTAATCCTGGCTTAGTCATAGCCCAGCTGTGTGATCTTGAGTGAGTTATTTACCTCCCTACCTTAGTTTCCTAATGGAATAATAATAGTGTATATCTCATAAAGTTGTAATGAGGATTAAATTATTAACACGCATAAAGTGCATAGAACAGTATGTGACACATGATGAGTGCTCAATAAAGTTTTTAATTTAAAAATCCCAATGATTAGTATAAGCTGACTTTATAGTTCTTAAATATATGTATTTTTTATTATGAGGTCAGGTTGTTGATAGCTGTTATACTTCAGCAATTAAGAAAATGTATAATTTTGATATTAACATTTGATATAAAAATTTACATTTTAACTGTGCTTTAGTTACTTTATACCTTTGCATTTGAATGACTGTTTTTTTGGGTTTTTTTAAAATTTATTTTTGGCAACGTTGGGTCTTCGTTGCTGCGCACAGGCTTTCTCTAGTTGCAGTGAGCGGGGTCTACTCTTCCTTGCAGTGTGCGGGCTTCTCATTGCAGTGGCTTCTCTTGTTGTGGAGCACGGGCTCTAGGCACACGGGCTTCAGTAGTTGTGGCACATGGGCTCAGTAGTTGTGGTTCACGGGCTTAGTTGCTCTGCGGCATGTGGGATCTTCCTGGACCAGGGCTTGAACCCGTGTCCTCTGCATTGGCAGGCGGATTCTTAACCACTGTACCACCAGGGAAGCCCATGACTGTCTTAACTTTAATGCCCAGGCAGCAAGCACAGTGATCACTGGGCTGGTTCTGAAAAGAAACTCGCCTGGCTGAAGTACTATCTATACCTGTTGCTTAGTACATTCCAGTCAGCATAGAGCAGAGTTTCTCAGCCTCAGCACAATTGGTGCTTTGGGCTGGATAATCCTTTGTTGTGGGGCTGTCCTGTGAATTGTAGGATGCTTAGGAGCATCCCTGGCCTCTACCTTCTAGGTGCCAGTAGCATGTCAGTTGTGACAACCAAAAATGTCTCCAGAGATTGGCAAATGTCCCCTTAGGGGCAAAATTTCCCCCGGTTGAGAACCACTGGCATAAGAACCAATGTTACCACCTTAGGTCAAACTTGAGTTTTCTTTCCCTATCTTCTCTCTTCTATGGAAAGTTGCTTATGACCAGGGAAATTTTAGTGTATGTATACTCTATCTCAGGGTAACAAGTTGTTGGATAATTGGTTATATATACAAAATTATCAACTTGCTACCCACTTGCAATATTGCATATATAATGCTTTTAGTTAACTTTATGTAATGGTCTAATTAGAGTATATATAATTGGAAGTCTAATTTACAGTAAGACTGTTAGAATCTTTGTGATTAGGTATTTATTTGTACAAGGGGAACATTAGAATGGCACCTCAAAATTTGCTTTTCCTGTACTATTTGTACTTAATTGGTGTTGCCTCTGTAATGTGCCCATCATCCTTTGCCAGAAGAGCATAAATATGCAAAATATCTGTTTGAAGAGGATTTGGTATTTTGTTCTGGGCTTTCAAAAAATGTTTTGTTTTGTTTTCAATTAGAAATGATAAAGTAGATTAAAGTAAAAGTCACCATTAAGTAGTAAGTAATAAGTAAATAAACTCATTGAACCTGTTTGCTATGCATATTTTTTTAATTAAACAATATCATGTAGATAATGTTCTTCAACCTTTTTTAAAACAGCATAGTGTGGATATCTTTCAATGCATACATGATTTTTTTATGTCTACATAGTGTTCGAGACAAAATTTTCCCTCTCTCCATGTTTTTTATGGAAGTAATCCAGTCCCGTGGTTTCAAAACATAAACTGTAATGGCCACGGCGGGCGAGAGCGAGCCGCGGCCTGGGCCCCAGGGTGATCTCGGGGGCCTGGGGCCCCGTGCGGCCGGCTCGGTAGCTTTTCCCTCCTGCCCCCCCGCACGCGGAGTCCTTCCTCCCCTGGCGGGGTCTCCAGCTTAACCCAGACCAGAGGAGGCTTTTCTTTGGGTGAGGGACACGAAAGTGCATTGAGAATTTCTCAACTCGGGAAGCAGAAGTGCTGCTCCTAGGTTTTACAGGGAGTAAGGGGGGAGCAGTGAGTTCGTGGATATTGAGTGATGATAATAGCTAACCTTTTTCCAAGCCCTCGCTGTGTGCCAGGCACTGTGCGGAGCAACTTGTGTGTCTCTTCTTTACTCCCGAAATGCCCCGATGAGGTTGAACTGAGCAAAGCAATGGTTATGGAGAAGCCTAGTCTCCTGCTGGTCGGGCGGGAATTTGTGAGACAGTATTACACACTGTTGAACCAGGCCTCAGACATGCTACACAGATTTTGTGGAAAGAACTCTTCTTATGTCCATGGGGGATTGGATTCAAATGGAAAGCCAGCAGATGCGGTCTATGGACAGAAAGAAATCCATAGGAAAGTGATGTCACGAAATTTCACCAATTGCCACACTAAGATCCGTCATGTCGATGCTCATGCCACCCTGAATGATGGTGTGGTGGTCCAGGTGATGGGCTTGTTCTCTAATAACCACCAGGCTTTGAGGAGATTCATGCAGACCTTTGTCCTTGCTCCTGAGGGCTCTGTTGCAAATAAGTTCTATGTTCATAATGATATCTTCAGATACCAAGATGAGGTCTTTGGTGGCTTTGTCACTGAGCCTCAGGAAGAATCTGAAGAAGAAGTAGAGGAACCTGAAGAAAGACAGCAGACACCTGAGGTGGTACCTGATGATTCTGGAACTTTCTATGATCAAACTGTCAGCAGTGACTTAGAAGAACATTTAGAAGAACTTGTTGCTGAACCAGAGCCTGATCCTGAACCAGAGCCAGAGCAAGAACCTGTGTCTGAAGTCCAAGAGGAAAAGTCTGAGCCAGTATTGGAAGAAACTGTTCCTGAGGATGCTCAGAAGAGTTCTTCTCCAGCGCCTGCAGACATAGCCCAGACAGTGCAGGAGGACTTGAGAACCTTTTCATGGGCATCTGTGACCAGTAAGAACCTTCCACCCAGTGGAGCTGTTCCGGTTACTGGGATACCACCTCATGTTGTTAAAGTACCAGCTTCACAGCCTCGTCCAGAGTCTAAGCCTGAATCTCACATTCCACCGCAGAGGCCTCAGAGGGATCAAAGGGTGCGAGAACAGCGAATAAATGTTCCTCCCCAGAGGGGGCCTAGACCAGTCTGTGAGGCTGGTGAGCAAGGTGACGTTGAACCCCGAAGAATCGTGAGACACCCTGACAGTCACCAACTCTTTATCGGCAATCTGCCTCATGAGGTGGACAAATCAGAGCTTAAAGATTTTTTTCAAAATTATGGGAATGTGGTGGAGCTGCATATTAACAGCGGTGGGAAATTACCCAATTTTGGGTTCATTGTGTTTGATGATTCTGAGCCTGTTCAGAAGGTGCTTAGCAACAGGCCCATCATGTTCAGAGGTGAGGTCCGTCTGAATGTGGAAGAAAAGAAGACTCAAGCTGCCCGGGAAGGGGATTGCCGAGATAACCGCCTTTGGGGACCTGGAGGCCCTCGAGGTGGGCTGGGTGGTGGGATGAGAGGCCCACCCCGTGGAGGCATGGTGCAGAAACCAGGATTTGGAGTGGGAAGGGGCATTGCTCCAAGGCAGTGAATTGCTCTTCACCGATCTTCAGGCAGCAGTACAAACCCTAGCTCCCACAGAATGATTTCTTCAGCCAACCTTTGGTATCTTGGAATCTGATCCTAGTCTATGATAAACTGCTTAAGTTTGTACAGTTCTACTTTTTGTGTTACTGATGTGTGCTCGTTCCCCTCTCACCCCCTCCCCCCACCTTTTAGTCCTTCACTTCCAGTTTTGTGGAATGATATTTTAGGCAAAATTGATTTTTAAAGAAGAAAAAAAAAGACTGCATTTCCTTGATTTATTTGCATATACAGACTGGATTTTTTTTTAACAGTTTCCCCAAAGGAATGTGTCTTGCTTATTACTGACATTTGGTATGTTTCATTCATTGGAATATTTTTTACTTATTTTCTACATGTTTCAAAAGCCTGTGAGAATTACAGGATTTGATAAACATTTTGAAGGCAGGAAGAACCCAAATTGTCTCTTCTTTGAGAGTCATGACTACCTTCTGGTGTGGAAAAATTGCCGTTGGAAAAATTGACAATTTAGATTCTCTCTGGTATGGTTAAAAACTGAATAAAAGGTGTTAGTAGAGTTTTTCTTTGGATACGTGGTTGCAAAACAGTTCCAAAACCTGTTTTTACCATTGAAATTTAAACTGTGAGATAGGTTTTAAATGTCTAGAATGCAACTGATAAGCTTTTCTTGAACTGTTAGATTTTTTTTTTGAAGTAGAGTTTTTTCATGTTTAATTTGTATTTGTAAAAAAAAAAAAAACCAAAAAGGCCCCAAAAATTTTCAAAAATCTGAATAACACAAAACCGGAGCAAAACTGTTGTGCCTTCTATTTATCTTTGATTCCAGTCTTGGCAATTGTTTAAAGAAAAATAATAATAAAAAACATAAACTTAGGTTTGTTCTATTTAAAAAAATAAATAAAAATAAACTGTATAGGACTAATAATATACAAAAATTACTTAGTTTGCTTCATTTAAGACCTGAAGTGGGCAAGGATAGTACAGTGTCAGATGCAGTAGAAAAAAACACTATAGCTGACATTCTAATTCTCTTGTAGACATAAGTGAACAAATTTGCTGAAATACAGAGCTTTCACACTTGTGAACTTTTATCCCCAGCATCCAATACAGTGTCTGGAACATAATAAGCTCTGATATATTTGTTGAATAAATGAAAAATAATATTTTGTCTAGGTCTGGAGTATATGTATTTGGTTTTCTTTCCAGGGTCCTGTAATGCCAGGGAGTCATTCAGTGGAAAGATTTGTGATAGAAGAGAATCTTCACTGCATCGTTAAGTCCCACTGGAAGGAAAGGAAGACTTGGTAAGATGCTTTTCATGGTACTTTTAGTAGAGTGGAGAAAAAGTAGCAATCTTGATGATTTAGTAAGAGCAAAATGTACGTTAAGAGTAAGAAAATCTTCCTCTCTTCCTGATGCCCTGTCTTGCTAAGACCGATCTCTAAAACACTTGATTTGCTTTCTGGAGGCACTTCACCCTCAAATAGTACTTTCCTGGATGCTACATAGTACTGTAGTGCTTTATAGTAATATGCATATGATGCCTGATCTTTTGTATGGATGTTTGCCATGTGCTCTGGACAACTTAACTTGAATGGCAAGCTGTTTTTGGTATGAATGTTGTGGGAATAAATGAATACTAATGGTTTTGCTGTTTCCTAGCAGTTAGACATCAAGCTTTGGAAAAGTTTATTTTTAATATTTTCTGAAACCTTGGAAAGTTTTGGTTTAGATCTTAAAATGGAAAGGAATATAGTATTTTGGGAATGGTCTACCTTATAAAACATTTTAAGTTAGTAGATCTGAATATACTTACTTACTATTATTACTTATATGCCTTTTTTTTTTTTTTTTGCGGTACGAGGGCCTCTCACTGTTGTGGCCTCTCCAGTTGCGGAGCACAGGCTCCAGACGCGCAGGCTCAGCGGCCATGGCTCTCGGGCCCAGCCGCTCCTCAGCATGTGGGATCTTCCCAGATGGGGGCACGAACCCGTGTCCCCTGCATCGGCAGGCGGACTCTCAACCACTGCGCCACCAGGGAAGCCCACTTACACTCCTTTTGATCTTCCAAGGAGTTTTGCATGCATTAAAGAGTTTCCTTATGGTAGACAAAATAATCTGTGCTGTAGTTAAGTAACTGAAATCTGGAACATTTCAGAAAAGATTTCCTTTATATCTACATACACTGTTTTTGAAACTGCTATTTAGTTTTTCATATATCTGTGTGTACTCATTAAACTTAAATTACACTTTTTATAGTGCTGCACAGCTAGTGAGTTATCCTGGGAAGAACAAGATCCCCTTGAACTACCACATAGTTGAGGTATGCATTCCAAATGGAGCTTGTTTTTAAGTTTCAGAATCTTTCTGTTGACTGTAAAGTGTAATCTACTCTTGGCCTTTTTGTTGTTCTTGCTACTTGGCAGGTGCTGAAAATTAATAGAGAAGAGAGGAAATTGCTTTCAATTTTGGAGCTCTGTTAGCCATGTTAGTAAAGAGAAAAGAGGAGGTTAAGCCCAGTGTACAAATGGAATTTTGAGTTGCCTATAATTTATTTATATATTGATAGTATATCTTCATTCATGAATAGTTATCATGGATAATGTAAGTTACCTCTAACTCTATCAATACATTGTCCACTTAACAGATGTATAAGAGGCTTAAATATTTTAAAATATTGTATTCTTTAGGCAGATAACCCATCTTTAACTGTGTTTATCTGGCCTCTTATTACTAGCATACCCCTGACTAGTGTATTATTTCCTGTATCACAGGGTAGGGATAAGTAGGAATCCTTATTTATTCTTAGAAATCAAAAGAGCCAGTTGTTTTGGAAGTGGAAAAAAATAGATAATGCTTTTGATTCCATATGAAGTCATACAGAAGGGTGATACTAGTAGCGTAGTTGAACGCCTTGTAGAGATTTATTTCCCAAAAACAGTGTTTTCACTTGACCCAAACTGTCAATTGCATTATTCATTTATGTTAAAATACTCAAAGTGAGCATAATTATGTATCATTTGATTCACTTTTTATTCATACTATACCTATGTACTTCCTTAGAAATGCTGCATCTGTTCTCTTTATAGAACTTGAGAGTGTGGTTAGGCTATGAACTTGACTCACTGACATGTCAGTTGAAATGCAAAACATAAGTCATATTTTTAAATGTGCAAAATGTGTAGAAATTCATACAAAAGTGTGGGAGATGGGAGTGAGAAGAAGGAATGCAGACCAGGCTCTAGAAGTCGAGGTAGACGGTCCACACATTATATAAAGAGGAAGGAAACAAGTTTGTGAATGAGAGCATGGCAAAAAAGTCTTGGAATACCAAGAATATAGTAACAGTGTAGAATGAGTTAATAACTATCTTCTGTTCCCATCCTCTGAGTCTACAAAGGACTTTTACTTCTTATAGGAATGAAACTCTGGTGGATCTGTGAGTCCCCAGTAAACTGTACCTCCCTGAATTAACTCTGATACTTCCAGAGTTGAAATTGGACAGTTCTCTGGAAGTATCAACTAAGCATTAATTTTTGCATATTCTTATTTGATTGAGTTATAGAGATAAGAAATCTTCATTACAGTATTCAATTGTAGATCTTTGTGTTTTAAAGAGCATAATTTTAAAGGTTAAAAAGTAATTTTTTTTATTATGAATACCATAGAGTTAGACTTTAGAACATTGAGGTGTTTCTAATAGTAGAAGTGTGTAGATAGCTGTTGAATTGAGTTCTGACTTGTGATTCCTTTGTAGGTGATCTTTGCAGAGCTGTTTCAACTTCCAGCACCCCCTCACATTGATGTGATGTACACAACACTTCTCATTGAACTGTGTAAACTTCAGCCTGGCTCTCTACCCCAAGTTGTATCCTTTCCTTTGTTTTTAATGTACTCTCTTTGGCCTGACTTTAAGAGATTATTAAATATTTCTGCTTGTGGGTTTAAATCATTTCATGAAAACAGTTTGGCATTTCTTTAAAAGTTAAACATTACGTGTACTATACAGTCCAGCCATTCTGCTCTGGAGTATTTACCCAAGAGAATAAATGTTCATAACTTTATTTGTAATAACCCAAAACTGGAAACAATCCAAATATCCATCAATACAGAAAGGATAAGCAAATTTTGTTACAGCTATACAGTGGAATACTACTCAGTAATAAAAAAAAAGGACAAATTTTCAATGCAGGCAGCAACATGAATGAATTGCAAAATAATTATATTGAATAAAAGGTGCCAAACAAATACGAATTCACACTATATGATAGCATTTACACAAAATCCTAGAAAATGCAAAGTAATATAGTGACAGCAGACCAATATTTGCTTGGGGGCATAAATGAGGGGAAAAAGGGAGAATGGATTACAAAAGAGCATGGGGAACTTTTGGAGATGATGTAAATGCTCATTATCTCGATTTCATGGGTGTATACAGATCAAATGTACATCACTGATACCTCAAAGATCAATTACTTGAAACGAAGCTCAGCATTATTAGTCATTATATAGACTTCTAAGAAATGTTATTTATTTTTTCTACCACAGCTTATTTTCAAGGAGAGTATAGTTTTCCTTATCCTGAAATTCACAGCTTGCACAGGCAACTGAAATGTTATACATGCGTTTGGACACGATGAATACCACATGCGTAGACAGGTATAGTAATTGCCTTATTTCTGTACTGAGTGTTAGCAGCTTCTGCTCCCTGTACTTTATAAAAGAATTTGATAAGGAAAACAATCGCCTTTTTAAGAATTTCCAAGTTGGTTGTTCTTTCTTGCCTCCCGCAAATAATCCTTTATATAATAAAACTCATAATTGTTATAACATTACACTTTCTAGTTTAATTTTCAATATGAAATGATGCCCATACTGAGGTTTTCTTTAATTGCATTGTTTAGTTCTTTGGTATGGTTACACTTTTCCCTCTGTAATTGGGTAGGTAAGCTTTTAAAATAGGTTTTATGCTAACCCATATGTAGAAGCAGAGTCTAATACTGTATATTTATGTTTATATAATATGTATTTTTGTTTATGAATAGTATCTGCTTCTAAAATAATTAGCTACTATGTAACTACAGCTCCAAGACTCAGTTTATACAAAAGGCCATATTGGATTTTTATAGCTGTGGTAATTTCATGCCTGTTGTCGTCTTCTGGGTGAGGTCTATATACTACCTTTATTAGCTGGTGTTCTCTGTTCTGTCAGTTTTCCAAAGTAGATCAGGACAGATATTGAACATTTCCACAATCTGTCATGTCTACTATTCAAATGCGATATTTGAAAATTATCAGTAAAGGCTGTCCTGTGTTGTTGACCTATTATCTTGAGTAATTTTAATGACTGAAATTATAGATACATGAGGGATGTGCTTTAAGAAGGTGTCTGCTGAGGGTTTTTTCCCAGTCTAATTAATAAACCATCAGTTGTGCTGGGCATCCCTATTATGCCATTCATTCAGCAAGTGTTCATTGGGCTCTTAAAAATTTCACAGTGTTATACAGTCTACTAAGGTGATCCATATCTAGTCAGAGAGATCAGATGTGTTTTTAAGAGAAAAGGGGGCTTTGATGGTATATTTTGTTGTTTGTGGTGAAAGGGTGTGGTATGATGATGAGAGACTACTTTGGCTCGTCCGTTTATAAAACGTTTTTAATCATTTTTATTTTTGCACCTCACACCTCTGTTTCGTTGTCAGTTAAATGGGGAAAATAATACATTCCTCAGAAGTTATTGTGAGAATTAAATTATATAAACATATATAAGGTACTTGATATAAAACAGGCACTTGAATCATATCAATTATTCACTTAAAAAGGATAGCACTGTTAGGAGGAGTGAGATGGGGGACTGTTACTTTTTGAAGTAGAACGTGAGTTACAGGATTTGCACAGAAAAGGGTAACTGGTAGGAGAAAATACAGCTGTAGGTAGGGGGAAATTGGGTTTTGTCTGAAGGATTATGTAAGTTCCTGTTATAAATTGCAACCGTTCATCCTTTTCTGTCCCCCCCACCCCACTTCTCTGTATAGGTTTATTAATTGGTTTTCCCATCATCTAAGTAACTTCCAGTTCCGTTGGAGCTGGGAAGATTGGTAAGCAGTGTTGTGTATATTATATCTTTCTTCTCTCTACAGTCTGCCATTTTTAAAAAAAAGTTAATATTTAAAA